AAAAACGAACTAGGCATGATTGAGCAATTGTCTTAACGTAAAACAGCACACAAGTAGCTCGGAGAGCCAGTTCATGAGAGCTTTGTAGTTATAAATGGACAAGTATTGTATCGAGAGTATGTATATACATGAACCTCCAGGCTCCACGAATCAAACTATTAAAACAGTTACATTAAAGGCGTACCGGTTTCGTCTATTGACTTCTTCAGCGCCGTTGTAGTCAATATATATAGTCGCCGTTATAGTCATACAACGGCGCTGAAGAAGTCAATAGACGAAACCGGTACGCCTTTAATGTAACTGTTTTAATAGTTTAATTCGTGGAGCCTGGAGGTTCATGTACTCTCGATCATGAGAGCTTCTTGAGTCTGTCAGCAGAAGATCAGTATCAAGGCATTCCTAAACCGGTGATGACCCCTGCATACGCATCAACCACCGAGCATTGAAGACTGAAAATGACGAGTTTGCTCGGTAACGACCAGGGCCAATGACATACCATCGCGGAGATGGTTTACAATTGTCGTCGAAGCACTGTTGTTGAACGGCGCCCCGCTGTTGACGGCTGTGTATCTGGGTCACCACCAGTCTCAGTCTCGTGGGCTGTGTAGGCAGCGGAACACTATTTTACCTGCTCGGCTGAGCGTGCACCGACTCTGATTTGTGAAAGGCTACACTAAGTTTGAGTTTTTATCGTTTTTATCAAGCTGGGCGGCATGTTCAGACAAATTGCCTAATAATTGTTAATACTTTTAATCCCAATTAGGCTCTATTCCCATTCTTCACAACTCTCTCTCTCTCTCTCTCTCTCTCTCTCTCTCTCTCTCTCTCTCTCTCTCTCTCTCTCTCTGTGTGTGTGTCGGACCCCTCTCCGAGCTGCCGTCAGCTCTCTTCTCCCTCCCCGACTACCGTCGGCTCCCTCCCCCTCCTTCCTCGAGTCTCCACTCCTCCTCTTCCCCGTCTCCCTCTCGCTCTGCGTCGGCCCCCTCTCCCCGGCCGCCGTCGGCCCTCTCCCCTCTCCCCGGACGCCGTCGTCGCCCCCAGCTCGGCCAGTGCAGTGGTGGTAGTCGTGTCTGCGGGTCGAACAGACGGGGACGCGTGCCTGCCCGCCTCTCGACCAGTCGCGTGCTGTGAGCCAGTCCGAGCTAAGGCCGTGTGCCGTGGGAACGCCCGTCTGTGGTGGATGTAAAGGTAAGGAAACCGGATGGAGCATTGGTGTTATACTTGTAGTGAATGCGATTGACTGTGTTTGTTCAAGGACAGTCTTTCTTTATATTGTAAGAAGAGTGCAGGACTTGAGACCGCCATCCATTTTTTTTTTTTTTTGCAAAAATGCTTATGACTCTCGATAGCTTTTTGGTTCATTATAAGTTATACCACAGATTACGCTAAAAGTTACTTTAACGGTGCATTGGAAAACGCTTGCACATCAAAATCTTCCTTGAATCTGATCTTAGCATCAATTGGCCTATTATCATCTTACCTGTTGACCTATGCGTCCTTAATCACAGAAAGGCAATGCAAAATAAATAATTGTTTGGAGCTTTGGAGCTAGGCATTAGCAACATGCTTGTCTGCTTATGCTTATTTGTTATCAACAACGAAAATATCGTAGTTGTATATTGTATAAAGTCAATTCCTCAGTCACATTTACGTGTTAACATAAATATGAATCCAAACAACAAAATTATCAATCTAAATAGATCAAAAGAGCATTTAAAGTTACGACATATCGTATGCGGATGCCGGTCCCGTAGCTCAGTTGGTTAGAGCGTTGGACTCCGCGTGGTGAGAGCACGCGTTCCCGGTTATGACAGTCCGGGTTCGAAGCGCGACGGGCGCTCGACATTTATGGGCCTCCTGACAGGTATGGTTGCGGTTGGTGGCAGGCCGTAGCCAGGCGAAGTCAGCGAGGGGACCGGCCGTGCGCGGCTTTGTGCGCACGTTAAACTTTGGATCTAAATTCTGCCATAGAATCGGAATTGCGCGATCGGAGGGTAGAGGGCAGGGTCATCGCAACAAGCTTCGCTTAGCGGTGACTCTGTCCTTGTGAATCCTTCCCATCAAAAGGTTCGGACTAAATTTATAAAAAAATACCTATCGACAAAATCCATACAAAAAGCCGTATGCTGTTGTATTTACGCATGTGCGTTCGATTCCGAGTACTCTCAGTCTTTTTTTTATTGCATAGTATAGTTTAATCGGTCCTACATGATCTCTCTTTTTATTGATTAACCAAATATTAGCCGTTTCCACGACAGGAGCTAGCCAGCTAACTTTTTAACAGAGCACGACATTTTATTGACATTTTTTTGGCAAACGTACCTACATACGAGGTACCTACATCCGTACCTCTCGTATATGATAGACACATGTTTTCACGGAGATATAAAACATTTCGTTTTTCATCCCCAGGTCATTTGATTAAAGTTAAGTCACCAGGTCACGTCAACATACCTCAAGCAAAGTCAAGTCCTAGCTAAACCCGATGGATGTTTGATTTGAAACTGTCAGTGATTGAAACAATGGCATGATGCACGCAAGCTAAGTCCAGGATTTTCGACATCGGTTACCTAGGGTCAGATTGCTAGTTTTGCGACATGCTTGTTGTAACATGGCTTAGCTAAAACTGCGCCTTTTTCGCACGAAATTCGCGCTAAATGCTTTATGTAATATGATTGAATTTGCATGCACTGAATATTGAAAAAAAAACTTGCACCAGTAAATTTACATTATACAGCTGAGGTCATGAAAAGATCGTCATCACTTTTTTGTCAATAACCTTTGATAAAGACATGCTAGAATGATGAGAAATATTTCGTGTATGCTTACTGCTTAACCCAACAAAATGAATCGATCGATATACCGCATGACCTTTTAGATCAAAACATCATCTGAAACCTCCATAAATCTTCCTAGTTAAACTTTTGATGTCAAATTACAGTTCATTCGACGTTTTACGACCAAAAAAGATGCTGTTGAAAGCCGTGCTAATAAATGCCCTCTGAAAAGTTATGGCTAAAATGTCAAAGTCTGATTTGACGGTTGTTGTCCTCTTGGGTTTCAACCGTTGCCTGAAGCTAACGGTTCTTTTGATTACTTTTGCTGGTCACCGAAAGAACTAAAAAAGTCATCGAATACTTTTATGTTTGTAATTCGCGAGTAAAGAGCCATTTTATGGCAGAAAAACGTTTAAAACAATGAAACTGTTGATGAACATCGGCGACTTAACCTTTGGTCTGACCAAAAACACACGTGATCAAAAACACGTAATCCTAATACTTTTATAGTGAATTGACGATTTCTTTGAAAGGATGCTTCTCGCTCATTGTCTCGGGAACCGATTTGGCGGGATTTTCAACTCTTTTCCCTATTTGAATCTGATTTATTTGTAGAAGTGCTTACTAATTTTATTTTTAGAATCCTTTTCAAGCAAAGCATATCGAATATATAACATTTTGCAAAGAAACCTTAACAATTTACGGCGAGGTCAGAATGTTGATAATCCGTGCTGCATGCAGCACACCTCTCTGGTCGTTTTTTTTTTCTCTGACTCAGGCATAAAATCATATAGGTAGCTGCCGACGGAAGCGTTCATCTAAAAATCTTATACTTGCCGACGGAAGCGTTCATCCGAAGCAGACTGAGCACTCCCCCGGCATTTCCGAGTGTGTGGGGATCTGAGCTCGATCATCCCTGGCCCCGGCGCTGACTCATTGAGGCGCACCCCGTCAGCGTCTGGCCGTCTGACAAGATGACATATGTAGATGTCGCGCAGACATTTCTGTTGTTGTTCATCCCGGTCAAATATTGTTCAATCTCGGCGTAGATCAATGTTTCAGAATGTTCATTATCACCACGATTTGTAAAACGGTCTTGGCTAGCCGGTCTCGGTCTAGCTTTGCAGACCGTTTGGTTGTTCCGCCAGTGATGTGATCTCCCGACTCTGTGTGCCCCCAGGCGTCTGCTGCACCTTCAGAGTCTGACGTCATCTCCAACGTCTGACATCACCATCTGACGTCATCTCGGACGTCTGACGTCATCTGTGCGATAGGACACCACCCCATCCGCTTTGAGAGGCCATGAATGCGTAAACGCGCCTCGTATTTCATCGGGTGTCACTCGGAATTCGGCAGCTGCGGCGCTGGGTCGGGGACTGCAACTCCTCACACGACGGAAGCGGAGGCAAATATTCGGTGACTGCAGCGAAACACAAGACAGTAGCGCAAGGCGTCGCTTGAAGGAGAACTGGTTGAACGTATTGGCTTTTGGAGGTATCAACCAGCCGGCCAAACGCTGGCACGGGTGAAAAAGATTTTCTGAAGAGGTAGTCGCCTGTTAGTCACTTTGCAAGACAGCTGACCACTGCACCGTGCCCGACACTACTGTGACAGCTCCAGCAGTTCAGTGCTTAGCGTGTGGACTCGGCGTGTGGACAGTGTGGCTTTGGAGTGTGGACGGCGGCTGCAGTGATGTGCGGTGTCATCAGCGAGGACCAGTGAAAAGTGTCAGTGACCGGTGCCAGTGACTGTTGCCCGTGGTGTGTGACGGTGCGTGTGTGGTAGCTAAACCTCACTCGAGGCGGAAAGACACCTATCCGCCCACCACCATGAGTCGGCCAGGATGGACCATGTCTCTACAGAGACCCGCCAAGCTCGCCGGCAAAAAGGCACTCAGGTAAGTCAGAGCGCGACGCTTGCACGCGACAGGCTCGTCAGCTCCGCCGAGGTGCTCTGCCCTCAGCCGAGCAATGGTTGCGGCAGCGGAGGTTATTTGTCTTGCGTTACGTGTTTAAATGGGATCATCCGGGTCGGTGAGACCAGATTATCACAGCCAAACCGTTACAGCATGCGTTGGAATAATGTGCAAGATATACGGATCCCGAAGTACCTTTTTGGGAACGCGGTGCGATGATGTTCCGCTGCCAACCGCACACGCGCGCGCGTCCGCCAGAGCTGCCATCGGGTCAGGCGTTTATGGGGGCTGGAGCACTGCGATGGTTTGATTGTGTGGCCTGGTAATGGTACTCGGGCAGTATATCGCGACTACTTAGCCGGTGATGAGAGGTGGGAAACCACATCGCTGCGGCTTCTGTTCGGAAAGAACTATTGCTAGCGGGATTCATAAATGCCAAGGTCGGTCCCTCTGTAGCTAGTGGCGGCTGAGGTCCTGTGCCGCTCTACATATATCATGCATATGCATATGCGAAGTGATGTCAAAATGCTAGAGGAGAATATCTCATCAGAACGCGTTACCAGAGGAAAGCTCCATGCCTGCTTTCTTCACCGTAACTTGATCAGAATTGTAGTTGAAGTCTGGTAAGGTTTGCGTTTGGTCGACCCAATAGGTCATTTTACTGCATGCAAAATACCTACTATCAGACGGGGCTCGAAGTTCCACCACCAAATTATCAGTCTCTCAAGTCTCTGAGTGGATCCAGAGCAGCAAATAGAACCCCACAGAGTGGAGAGTTGGCCCAGCTGCCGGTCTCCCGTCGGGCCGGCCACCCATCAGAGCTGGTCCGGTCCCGAGAGCCACCCACAGGGCGCACTCCTTTCCTGGGTCACGACTGGGCACCTGCCGGCTGACCCCGCTGACCTCAGTGACCTCAGTGACCTGCACTGACCTCCCTCGGAGACCCGCCGCCCCGCCGCCGACCAGACGCGACCTCCGCGTGGTGACATCACGCTAACACCGTCTTCAATCGACACCGATGTCCTCGGGTGAGAGTGGCATCTCACCCCATCAGCGGTGTCATCCACACGTCGGCTCAGCTCGACCCAAAGACCTCACTATGGAGCTACAGAGCTCAGCTCTCTCGGCAGGCCCGGCTCATTGACGTATGCCGTCGGGTCAACTCGAGGCTGACCTTTCAACGAGTCGCTTACTGAAGCCGTTTCTCATTCATCGCTGGTGCTTCCACAAGGCACACACACACACACACACACAGAATATCTATTAATCAACACGTATTACCAAAAAGAGAAACGTAAGTAGAAAACAAATAGTTATACAAGGCGTTTCGAAAAAATAATAGCAGATTGGTGCAAAAGCGCCAAGCGCTTAATTCTAGGCACCTCTCTGTAAAGGAAATGAAATTAATTGCTGCTAATCACACCGCCGCCGCCAACCCAGTCACCGATGAGCGGTTGGGATGAATGCAGACCGCGCGCCGGCCCGCGGGGACAGCACCAAGGTCACACTTTGTTTTTGAATCAATAAAAAACTAGGGTTGATTTTAAAGAAAGTGTTATTGTTGACTAAATCTATTTGAGTTAATCAAGAATCTTTGGAAGTGGTGTGCCACCCGCCGCCCATCCCCGTCGCCAAGAGTTTCTCCATGAATGAGCAACCGAAGTGTCAGGTTGGAATCGAGTGGTTGGTTGTTAGTGACATTGCCGAGAATATGCAAAACGTCTCGAAAGAGTTGATTTCTTTGGTGTTCATATTTTTGGCAAAATAATGTGAAATGACGAACGTTTTCCGTCGGGTAACCACATGAACAAGCAGTGGTCGAACACTTGTTTATCTGGAACTGATGTGAATTTAATAATGACATTTCTGTTCTTAATCTGGTGTGGAGGGCATTTCCTTCCTTGGATCCAATTTTGTAATAATTTGGAGGCTTGGATACTCCCAGCCGCTCGGTAATCGCTCGCTTAAAGGATGTATGGGTTAATGACCTAATTGATTCTGGGAGCCCGTTCCATAGTTTGCCGGTTGAAAGAAAGTATGAGGATTGATAGGATGTGGTACGGTTTGCTGTGATCGTGTGGTTACTCGCGTTTCTTAGCGTTCTGCCAGTTTGTTGGATGCGAGTGGCCGGTATGATTAACTTGATATATGCAGGTGTATGTTGGCTATGTGTGAATGCATGGTACAACGATAGTTTGTGTATTTTCCTTCGAATAGTGAGTCTGTTCCACCCCAGGTCATATAATAATTTATCTGTTGGTGTTCTATATAGTGTACCGGTTACTAGTCTTCCCGCTCTGTTTTGAAGTGTCTCTAGTCTATATGCGTCCTGTGCTGTCAAGTGTCCGTCATATATGGTATCGTATAAGTCAAAGTGAGGTCTCACATATGTTTTGTAAACGTCGTCAAGAATGTCTCTGGGAATGTATGGTGCAATAGGGTAGAGTGGACTCAATGTTCTCTGTACCTTTTTGCAAATTTCATTTACATGCTGATGGAAGCGCAAGTCTTTTGAAAATGTCATTCCGAGATGTGTATGATTGTCACATTGTGGTATCCTATCGTTTCCAAATGTTAGGGTTGGCGAAGTGTATTTTTGTTTTAGTGAAAATGTTTGTTGTTTTGTCTTGTTTGTGTTGAAAGTTATTGCCCAGTCCTGTCCATATTTGTATATTGCATCGAGGTCCTTTTGTAATGATGCCTGTGCTTTGATAGTGTCTGCTGTTGAGTAGGATGTGTAAATAGAGACGTCGTCAGCAAAGAAGAGAATGTCGTTATGTGTCTTCGTCGAAAGTCCGTCAAGATATATAAGGGCTAAAAGTGGTCCAAGGCAAAAACACTTACCAGATGGTTGATGTAGGGACTCATACCGGCTGAATGAATTGCTTTTGTCTCTGTGCTGCTAGGCTTGCTAGCTTGCTTGGGAGCGTGGCCGCGCGGCCGGTCGCGGTGCGGCGCTTACAGAGCTTGCGGCACAGAGCGACAGTGTCAAGGAGTCAACGACGTAAGTGGGCGCAGCAGTCGGGCCGACGGGCCATGACAAACGGGGGGCGGCGGCGTATGTAGGCCCAGTGCGCAAGCCATTACACCAGCAGCCCCCGTCCGCCGTCGGTAACTCCGAGACACCAACAGGGCAGCGGCGGGGGCAGAGCCGAGTTCAGGGCCGACCAGCGCACACGCAGGTCACTGGAGACAAATAGAGACGGTCGGCGGGTGGTCGGGGCTGTCAGAGACTGTCAGAGAGGGACAGACGTATACAATGGCGGCCGGTGACGGATGGCGGCACGCCGAGAAAGGACGATGATGAGCGGTGACGGGTCGGTCCGAATCCGAGAAATGGGACAGAGATGGTCTGGGGTGTATGTGAGTGGCCCACAGAGAGCAGAAGATGGAAGTGAAGGTGGGTGAGTGAAACGGAAAGTAGAGAGAATCAGATCGGAAAGAGAGCGGAAAGCGATGTGTGATGAAGAGCAAACGAAAGGCTAAACAGGGAGCAAAGTAGCAGAAGGTACGAAAGGATTGAGCGAAGAACAAGTGTCAATGCTGAAGCCAGTAATCAAATCAGTGAAGTTAGCAAGGTGGAATCGGCAGCTATGAAAGGTGGGGGAGAATGAAGATGTGCTCTACGAAAGCTTGTGCAAGGACCAGAAAAATATTGATATGGAACAGGGAAGGAGAAGGTGGTGATGGGCATGACCATTTCTATCAATTTCGGAGACGAGAACGCAGGTCGGTAGATAAATCAACCAAAATGAAAGGAATTAATGATTAACTTTTCAATTATTTTTGATTAAAGGAAATGAATAAAACACCGCTGGCTCAAACACTTATCTAATCCCTGTGGCTTTTGTATCTTGCCTCATTTCTTTCAGTGGAATGCGTCAAGAAGCTCCATTACGCGCAAACGGTTAACTATCCATATTCCAAACCTCGATTTTCAACATCTATATTTTTTGCTCTGTGTTCCTAGTTTCATTAAAACTTGCTCATTATGAAACTTCAATTTCCAATAAGGTGAAATGATTATAGGACAATGGTGAACCTGTTTTCATGCGATCTTTATACGAATAGGCTGCAAACGTGCGCAAAAGTATGCCCAGCCAACGGAATGGCATCTTAGAAATGTTTCTGCATAACTCTTGAAAGCTGTCACGTCATTCTCCTCGGTTGCACGCAGTTGTTTTTCCAGACAGCGTCGATTCGATACCCTCACAGCTTATCGAATATTTTGTCTGCAGCTAAACATCCATTCCAATTCACTCAGCCGTTAATGGATCTGAGGCCAGTTTTACCAACAGAAAAATAGCCGCCTGCCGGATTTTTTTTTTTTGCCTAAGGACCGCTTCACATACGGAGTATAAAAGAGTGTAAAAGCGCTGGTCACGTTAGCGGATAGGCGTTACCGTTTACTCACCATATGTGAAGCACTGAAGCGGTCCTTAGGCAAATAATTCCGGCAGGCGGCTATTTTTTTGTTGGTAAAACTGGCCTCTGCACTATTGATGGTAGTTGATCCTGAAAATAATGCTGCATTTTTGCTTTTTTCAAATTTTAGTTGATAAGGTTTCATGCTTTTCGTCAACCATCCATAGACTAGCCAGTCTTGTTTTCCCCTTTTCCACGTGCGACAAGTTAGGCTCAGTAACAATGATAACTTGTACTAATGGTTCCTTGAACCACTAATTTTTATTCAAACTCGTTCGAAAATATCGCTGATAGGCGCATATTGACTCATATCATTGGTGTTCGAAGACGATCATGCATGCGTCGTGCCCGCATCCATGTGTTCGCACAGTAAAAATTGATCTGTGCTAGTAATCGTAGAGTTTTCTTTCAACACATTGTTTTGCAGGAATTTAGATACAGCTATCATCGCTGCCCAAAGTCACGGAACCGTGCAAAACGGCCTTTTATTATTCTCTACGGGCCTGCAAACTCATTGACTGGAAATGAGTTCCGTTTGGCTTTGGAACAGCGGCCAC